CATTTTATGAATATTTATTCATTTATATAAAAAGAGTTGTATAGAGTAGTAGACGAGAAATAAAAGTGTCTAAACATATATCCATGTATTGTGGGTTCACCTGAAATAACTATCATTTCAATCAACAGAAATAGTCAATCCATTGGTTAACAGTTCTTAATGATAATATTCTGTGCATAATATATAGCTATAATTAAATGAAATTTTTCATTGTATTATACAAAATGATAGACTCGTGTATTGTGTTTTATAGTCACACAATATATGCATTTATTTATATGATTCTCAAATAATAGTATAGCAAAAATTTTGTTAAAAATTTGTTTTATTAAAAATTTTATTTTAATTCTGTCTCTCAAACAATATAATGAATGACAGACAGAATGCGGTGGAAATCAGAGATGTTTTCTTCAATTACAAGAGCGACAGAAATATTCTCAACGGAATTGATTTGACTGTTCCTAAAGGCATGGATACAAATAATCATAATTTTTATTACTTTTACATTAAATCTTTAATTTTTAATCCCAAATGAATTTATGTTAATTTAGGAGGAATTTACGGTTTACTTGGTATGAATAATCAATGATTATTAATCATCATATTATTTGGTTATAAATGTAAACGTTTATTGAAACTACAGGTGCGAGCGGTTGTGGAAAGACAACTCTATTAAGATGTGTATTGGGAAGACTGCAACCGAAGAGTGGATCCATTCATCTATTTGGAGAAACGCCGGGAACCGCTATGAGTCGAGTGCCCGGACCTGGCGTTGGATATATGCCTCAAGAGTTGGCCCTTTACGACGACTTCAGTATCGAAGAAACTCTCGTATATTTTGGCCGATTATTTGGTATCAAATCCAAAATTATAGACTCAAGGATTGAATTCATGATAAATTTGCTTCAATTACCAAACCGTAAGAAATTAATCTCACAATTAAGTGGAGGTCAGAAGAGACGCGTTTCGTTGTCGACCGGTATTTACTCCTTAATTAGTGTTAAGTTTTAGATAATTTTGAAATTATTATAATTTATTGAATCAACAAATATAGCACTTTTACACAATCCTCCACTTCTAATACTTGGTATTTATATTTTTAAAAAGTTTTACGTAAAAGTCTGTATTAAATGTGAATTTATCATTAGATGAGCCAACAGTAGGCGTGGATCTAATTCTTCGAGAGGCTATTTGGAAGCATTTGGAGAATCTTTGCAGAACTGGTTTGACTGTAATTCTGACCACACATTACATAGAAGAGGCCAGAAGTGCATCGAATGTAGGATTTATGCGCTCCGGAAGAATATTAGCCGAAGACTCACCCCTTCAGCTCTTGAGAAGACATCAATTAATGACTTTAGAAGAAGTGTTCCTTAAATTATCGCAATTAGAAGACGACATGAAAGTGAATAATAAACTGACGTTTAATAGAAAGTCAATCACTAATGAAATATTGGACACAAATATCATCAGTAGTTCTGAAGACCAGACATCAGAAAAGATATCATTGAAAGTCATTAAATCCGACAATTCTTCAAATAATTCGCAAGAATTTGATCGCAATTCTGGCGAAGGCTTTGTAAACAATGGCTTCATTGCGGACTCGACTCTTGCCGACGAACACATGGGAACAGTTGTGTCCAAAGAGTACAATCTATCCAATGGTGTCATTCAAATCAAACAACAGAGTATCGCAAATGAGACCAAATTCCGCAATCGTTTGTCCGCTCTTACGCTCAAAAACTATAGGCAAATGTCGCGAAACGTATTGCTGTTGTCGTTCTTCGTGTTGTTGCCATCGATTGAAATCTGTTTACTAATCATGAGTATCGGACAAGACATCAAAAACATTCCCGTCTCTGTCTATAACCCGGAAAAGTTGGAAACTTCTCAGTCGTTAAGCGAATTATTCTTGAGTTCAATCGACGAAAAGCACATCACTTTAGTTCGCTATAAGACATTGGATTCGGCCGTATATGCCGTCAAAGAGAACGACGTTTGGGCTGTCATTCACTTTCAGCCAAACTTTACGGAAGCGCTGAGAATGCGATCACTTTTGTCCACCGACTCCGACGCCGATATCATAAACTCGAGTTCAATACGGCTTCAGTTGGATATGTCTAACCAAGTGATTGGCTTTCAAATACAGAGACATATCTTCGAGGCGTTCCTCAAGTTTGTCTCAGAATTGGCCCAAACCTATGGCATCAATCCGGATGCACTCAAACCGCCAATCATTATAGACCCGCCGATATATGGTGTGCCGAAACAGTCACTTATCTCGTTCATAGCTCCCGGGGCTCTAATAATGGTCGCCTATTTCGCCACAACTGTTATGACATGTCATCTGTTGATTAAAGAGAGAAGCGATGGTTTAGT